GGGCCGGAGGATGCGAGGCGGGCGTGCCGGAGCGCCCCCTGGCGGGTGTGGCTGGTCGCGCTCCGCCGCAGACTCCGGGCTGCCGCGGGCGGCCGGGCGCTCACTCCGCCACCTGGCGGCGGCGGCGGGAACCGCAGGGGCGCGCGGACCCGAGGCGCCGCCGGCCCCAGCCCAGCGCTCCCTCCGAGGCAGCAAAGGGTTAAGCTGTCAGCGGCGCGATGTTAAACAGGTGTCAAAGGCGCCCCATATATCTGCAGATTGAAATCAAATTCTTTGCCGTATAAAAAGATAAATTACCCAGGCGCTGCCGCGCGTCCCACTCATCACGCCAGCGCCAGACGGCAAGCAATTTTTTTTTTTAATGTGCTAACGACCTAATCAAGCAATCAAGTCGGAGAAAATTGCAGAGTGACCGGGGCAGCCATCTGCCGGCGAGCCCCGCATTCATTTCCGCGGCCCCGCGCGGGGCGGGACCGGGAGGGAGCTGCCGGGGGAAGAGGGGGAAAAATCCTAAACAAATTAACACCCAATTTTCCCCGTCTAATTAGTTAAATGAGAAGTGTTTGGGGTCCCCCGGGGAGCGGGAGCGGCTGCGGCGCGGCGAGCGCGGCCTCCCCAGCATTAATTAGCGCGGGTCAATGCCGCGGCTCCCGGGAGAGCGGCCGCTTTAATTTCCCGTGATATTTCAGTGCCTGAGGCCCATCGATTCAAACTGAAATTAACTTATTTTTCAATCAGCCCAGGGCTGCCCCTGGGGGTGACTCTTCTTTTGCCGCCTCCTGAATAGAGCGGGAGCAATTTTTCATCAGAAGCTGAGGCCTCGGCCGCGGGGGAGGGGCGGGGGCGGGAGCCCCGCCTCCGCCTGCGCCCCCTTCCCGCGCGCCCCGCCTGGGCCTGGCGTGGAAGAAGCTCCGACCGCCGGGTCGGGGGCAGCCCAAGGTCATGCGGCCTGAGGCCTTGGAGGGCCGCGCCACCCTCTTCCCAGGAGGGGAAACTGAGGCCGGCAAAGTGCAAGGACGCGCCCAAGGTCACCGAGCCCAGCTGAGGGCAAGGGCCTTCTCTTCCGCGCCTCGGTTTTCGCCTCTGTCTGGAGGGCAGCGCGGGGAGGGCCCTGGCCAGTGGCAGCCTCTTTCCTTTCTATAGGTTTTAAGATTTCCGTAATAAAAGGGTGTTTTTAAAGGTCACAAGAGCCCCTGCTTTGTCCTTCGTGGGCCCCCAACAAAGACCCTTCCATGTGTGTGGGAGTCTGGGGTCCTGTCACCACTTCTCCCTGGCCTGCGTATGAGGACCCTGAGGCCATGCTGGCAAGACGAGGAAAACACGTGTTGGGGACTCCCACCCCTCAAACAGTGCCCTAGGGTGTGGGGGGCTGGAGTCTCCTGTAGTCTGGTGGGCTTCAGGTTGAGGTCACAGGGAGACCCAGAGCCTGCCACTTCCTTCCCACCAGTGCCCACCAGGAGCCCCAAGGCTGCCTGTTTTCCTGTCCCCCCTGACCTCTGAGCCCCCCAGCTCTGGGGACACAGGCTCTTCCCAGCCCAGAGGCAGCCTGAGGCTCTTTCAGGGCTGGAGCCAGGCTGGGGTAGGTGCTGCTTGGCGCTGGGTGACACAAGAGCCTAGCCCTAGCCCCCATCCCCATCCTGCTCCAGCAGCAAGCAGGGAGGAGGAGGGCAGTACAGAGAGGCAGAAAGACACCCACACCAAGAAACGGGGCTCCAAATCAGCGGGAAGAACACCCCCACCTGCGGGAACCTCCTGGGCCCTAGCTCCATAGCAGTTTGGGGCCTGACATCACATTGGCCATTGATACTGGGTGTGTGGCGTGCCCTCCGCCCACCCAGGTGTCAGGGCTATGAGGTGGAGATGTGTGTGGAGACCCCTGTACACAGTAGGCACTTGGCAGTGTCTGTGGGATGGGTCTGCCTGGCTACCTGTCCTCATCTGACAATGGAGGGCTGAGCCCAGCATCTCTCACCCCTGCCAGGCTGCCCCACACCCTAGGACCCCTGTGCCCACATGCCAGACCCATGTCACCTCCCTGCAGGTGGGCAGGGCAGCTGTCTGTCCTGAGGCTGCGCAGGAGAGGCCGGGTTCAGCAGAGGGGGCCGTGCCAGGCTGCAGCCCGCCCCGAGGGCAGATGCATGTTCCAGCTGAAGGGGGACCTTTTATGTTCACCCTGGGAAGATGTCAGGCTGGGCAGGTCGCCAGAGCCCCGGGGCTTGTGGCTGAGAGTGGGGAGGAGGCAGGACCTGTACCCAGCCTGAGGACCCACCATGCCCAGCGGCAGGACAGGCAGAAAGGCAATCCTGGTTCAGAGAGGGTCCCAGCCCCTCTCTGAGCCTGGGGCTCCTTGTGACCCGGTCCTGGCGACTCCTAACCCAGGACAAGCCACCATCAGTGTGCACAGGCACCAGTCCCAGCCTCCCTGGTGTTACCACACTGACTCGGCCGCCTGCCCAGGCCACGGCGCTCTTTGCATTTGTCTATTATATTTATTTTAAAAATACTGATTAAGCACCTGATCCAGGGGCTGAGAACCAGGCAGAGGAGACAGACAGACATCACATCTAGCAAATATGATATCGTCCGCTAGAAGGTGGTAGGTGCTGTACAAAAACTCGGAGCAGGGAGAGGCATGAGGAAGGTGGGGAGGAGGAGGTGATGTCCTATGGAAGGCCTGAGGGAGGGAAGGAACCGTGCTGGGGACTTCTGCAGGAAGAGCATTCTGGACAGGCTGCGTAGCCCGGGCAAAGGCCCGGAGGCAGGACTACACCTGACTTGTGGGAGAAGCATCTCAATTTAGGGCCCAGGGGGTGGGTGCAGGAGATGAAGAAGGAGGGCAGAGTTGGGGGGGTGTGGGTGACAGATATAAAAACTCTCCAGTCAGGCAGGTGGCTCACGCCTGTAATCCCAGCACTCTGGGAGGCCGAGGCGGGAGGATCGCTTGAGCTCAGGAGTTTGAGACCAGCCTGAACAAAGGCAAGACCCCGTCTCTACTAAAAGTAGAAAAATTAGCTGGGCGTGGTGGTGGCACCTATAGTCCCAGCTACTCAGGAGGCTGAGGCAGGAGAATCTCTTGAGCCCAGGAGTTGGAGGTTGCTGTGAGCTAGGCTGACGCCACAGCACTCAAACCTGGGTGACAGAGTGAGACTCTGTCTCAAAAAAAACTCCCCCCCACAAAACCCTCTCCAGTCAGTTTACATCTGCTGCCTAAAACCACCCATGGCTCCCTATTACCTTTGGAAGAAAATCCCAGCCCTCCCTGCCATCCCTGCTTTGCACACTGTGCCCCCTTCCCTGGGCTCTGGGCACGCAGACCCCTCCTGCTGGGCCCCCCAGGCCAGCCCTGCTCCAGCTCGGGCCTGTGCCCTGGCGGTTCCCCCTCCAGCAGGGTTTTTCCCCACTTCCCACCTTCCGCCCCACTTCCTTTCTCAGCATCCCTTACAGCACTGGCCAGCCACAGACCCACATTTCCCACTTGGTCAGGGGGAGGTCCAGGTCGGAAGCCCTGAAGCTTATGTAATTTGGGGGCCTTCTGAGTGAAAAACAGTTTAAGATCAGGAAGACAAAATTAGGCCAGGGCAGGCACTGAGCCAGACTGGAAAACCCGCTGCTGGACGCAGTAAATACTGAATGTCCGAGCCGGGCGTGGTGGCGCACGCCTGTGGGCCCAGCTGCTCCCTTGAGCCTAGAGTTCAAGGCTCCAGGAAGCTACATTCCTGTGAATAGCCACTGCACTCCGGCCTGGGCAACATATCAAGACCCTGCCTCAAAAAAAAGTGGGGGGATCAGCCATGCATAGCAGGACCAGGATCCCATGTTTACTGCTGGGGAAACTGAGGCTGGGTCTAGCCACACACAGAGATGCCATCTTCGCAGGGGCACAACCTGAGCGGCTCTTCCGTGGGCCTGTTTCCGTGTCTACAACGAGAGTGGGGCCTTCAGTCCCGCTGACTGGGATCCCCGCGGCGGATTTTCTTTTCCCTGCCGAGTCTGCCCCAGCACTCCTGGTGGGAAGACCAAAGTCTGATGGTCCCTAACTCTGGCCGATTCCATTTCAGGGCCTTCTGCCACCAAACATGGTGGTAACTTGGGGTGTCACTGTCCCTGCCCTGGGCCCATAAAGTGGGAGGTGCTGCCCAAAGTCCCAGCAGCTGGCCCCTGCAGGCCACCCCATGGCACCCCTGGGGCAGGAGGTGGGTAAGGAAGAGGAGGGGCCAATTTGCAGGTGCAAGCAGACTGGCCACTGAGCTTCAGCCCAGGAATGAGCCCTCCTCTGACAGCCATCCCAGCCCTGCCCCTCTGCCTGCTGGGGGCTGGGACTCCTGAGACCCTGAGGTTCCCAGGGGGAGGCTGGCAGCCATTTCCTGAATGTTCCAGACACTTGACAAAGATGATCTCACCAAACCTGAGACTTGGCAGCTCTGGCTGCCCCATCTCACCTCTGGGGGAACCGAGGCAGGCTTCAGCCAGCTGCCACCAAGAACTTACTGACCACTGCAGCCCTGCACTGGGCACAGGGCTGCATACTGCAGGCCCTCACTAAATGCTTGCTGGGTGAACAAGAACACTCAGTGCTGCAGGAAGATGTACACAACTACATGCTGAGGGATCGTATTTTTGTTAATCAGGTCTCTGGGGACCCAGACCCTGCCCTCTCACCTGCTAGGAAGCCCTTGCCTACCTGCCCTGCAGCCCCCACTTTCCCCCTGGTAGAGTCCGAGCCCCAGCGTGCCTGTGCCCGCCCCCAGGGGGAGGAGAGAGGGCCGAGCTACCACCGTGGGCAGGGGCAAGTTGCGAGCCCACCGCAGCATGCCTGGGCCACTCCTCCTACCCAGGACGCGTCCTTCTCCACGAGCCCCATGGGCCTCTCTGCCTGTTCACGCAGAATCTCAAGCGTCAAGTATACCACAGGTGCCTAATCAATGTCTTTGAATGAATGTCACTGAGTAAATATTTGGGTGGGTGGTGCCCTCAGGATTGCAGGGCCCAGGGCGGTGGCCTGTCTTGCCCTCCCAGGGTCACAGCCGGGGAAAACCGGGCCCAGGCATGTGCCGGTGCAGGTGCGGGCCATGGCCCGCCGGGCGTCCTGGGAGGGAGGCCGCCCCACTGGCCGCCTGCCTGCAGGTGAAGGGTTCCCGAACGTCACACGGGGCTCGGCCTGCTCCGCGGTGGGCGGGGTGGGGGGGGTGGGTGGCGCCCTCTGGCGACGGCCACAGAGAAGGGCCGGGCTGCAGCCCTCAACCCCCCAACACCAGCCTGGCAGCGCGTCCGCGGGACTGGAGCTGGCCTGAGCCCCTCCCTGAGCACTGGGCGGGCAGCTCTTCCGGCTGCGGAGCAGAGGCAGGCGGCGGCCTCGCACGGTGCACCGCGCATCCAGCACTGTCCTCTGCGCTCCCCTGGGGAGCCGGGACCACGCTCCCAGCGTCCCTGCCGGCACCAAGCCTGGACCAAAGACCAGGGCTCAGGGGAGGGAGGGGGCTGGCCAGGTCCTCAGATTGAGCCCGACCTCAGTCCCGCCAACATGCATAACTCAATTCCCCCGTGTCAGAGCTGTCCCAAACTGGTGGCCCAGGAGTCACGTGTGTTTTCAGCTTCTGTTACGTTGTTTAAAATGCTGGATTTCTCCACAAGATTGAAAATTGGCCCTGGATTTCTGGCTCCTCACGGAACTTGAGAAGAGCTGGCCCAAGGCTCCCCCAACCCCCTGCCTTCTCCTGAGGTGCAGGTACCGCCCTTACCCAGACCAGCCGGAGGCCTGCTCAGGGGTCCAGGTCTGGGCCTGTGTCCCGGGCGCTGGTGAGGGCTATGGGCTGTCCCATTCGCCTCCTGCCCCTGCTCCCATGACCACCACCCTCTGATTCCTGCTCCCCAAGGCTCCCCCTACCCCATCTGCTCCAGCTGTCAGGGTGCAGGCTGTGCTTGGTGGGCAGATGGCAAGTGACCCCTCCCCCAAGGCTCAGTCTCCTCTTGGCTGGAACCAAAGTCCCATGACCAGTCCTCGGGTTCTAGAAGCCTAAAGGAGAGGAGACAGGTGCACAGGAGGACTCTGGGAATGGTCCCACTGCCCTCCTCTGCCTACCTTGTCCTGGTGGACCACGGGAACCTCAGCAAGGTGGCACTGAGCTTCCTGCCCAGGAGGGGTGGGTGCTGGCTGGACAGCAGTGGGTACCAGCAAGCCCCTCCCCTGGGCAGGCCGCCTCGGCTTTGCCAGGCCCAGAACATGCTGAGAGCAAAAAGCAGAAAGGCTCAGAGAGGTCAGCACCCACACTCTGCGCCTCTCAGGCATGGGTGGTCTCCCGGTCGCCCCTCGCAGGGCCCATGCACCCTGAGAACAGAGCTCCTGGCCCAGCTGTCAGCCCCACGCCCTGCCCAGCCGGTGCCCCAACACTCCCATCCCGCTGTGGTCACCCCACATGGGGTCCCAGTGGACACATGGGGTCCTGGCACCAGGACACACCCCAAGGCCCTGCTGCAGCCATCCCAGCCAAGGGTGGACACAAGCTCTACGGGAAAACCCGGCCCCACCCAGGCATGGACAGGAGCCAGGAGAGGACAAGGTGGGGTCAGTCTTTATTGGTGAGGGGCGGGCAGGAGAAGGGGGTTCCCACGTGAGCCCTGATGCTGTGAAGAGGGAGCTGCCCTCGGTGGGCCAGGCTGGGAGGTTTCTGCGGTTGTGGAGCCCCGGCTGCAGCACCGGTGCCCTGGCAAAAACCCCGACAGTTGCCCAGACAGCCCCGCTGCCGGATGCACAGGCACGGAAGGGGACCTGGGTGTCACTTGGAAGCCGTGAAAGGGTCACCCTGAGTGCGGGTGGGTGGGTCCTCTGCAGCCAAGAGGTCAGAGCCACCAGGCTTGTGGCTTTAAGAAAATAAAAATAAAATAAAAGGCAGGGCACAACCAGACAGCATTGGCTTCAGACAGGCAGGATGCTGGACACCTCACATGACCTGTGACCTTCCACAAAGGGCAGGGACTTGGCACTGACTTAGGCCAGCGGAGAGGGCTGCCCCCGCCCCCACCGTGACTCAGACCTAGTGGCTAAAAGCCACAGGGATGGCTCGAAGGCCTCGAGGACCACAGCAACTCCCTGGGGCTCTCGTGAAACATTTAAAAAGGAAAAAAAACCCCAAGGAACAGAATTCTATACATAGAAAACCCTAGTTTAGTTTAAAAAAAAAAAAGAAAGAAAAAAATAAGTATATGATTCGAATCTACAATCAGTTTGCTCTCGGGGTGGATTTTCTTTAAGAGGTGAGAGAATTTGGAACTTTGCAAATGCTGGGAATGGACGCTGGCAGGAGGTGACACCGCAGACGGATGATGGCGGGGAGCTCAGCTCGAGGCCACCTGGAGGCAAGGGAGGGACGCTCAGAAGACAGCCCCCCGACCCGTGCACCCTGGGGCCACCCCCGGAGCCCATGGCAGAGAACCTGGCTCAGGTGGAGTTCCTCTGGCGGATGTTCTTATCCTTGTCGTTCACGTGCTGCGAGCTGCCCTTCCTGGGGGCAAGAGGGGCAGCAGTCAGTGCTCGGGAGGCTGCGGCAGTTCGGGCCTGGGCCCCAACCACCCCCAGCGCCCCCGACAAGTCCCCGGCCCACCCCGTGGACAAATGAGCACCAAGGCTCAGGGAAACCCCGAGGCCTGGCCTTTGTGTTTCAAAGCCCTCAGGGCAGTAGGCAGCTCCTTGGACCCCTGGAACCCCCAAGAGGGACTTACAGGGGTGCAGACCCTGCGTCGTCATCTGGAGACGGACAGCCAGCATGGAAGAGAGCAGAACAGACCATCAGCACTGTCCCTGGATAAGGCTGCACGCAGGGGGCACCTGTCCTGCTGGCCCTGCCTCAGTTTCCCCAAGGGGAGGCTCAGTGCCACCAACCAACCCTGCCCTGCGTGGGTCTTCTGAGGCAGAGCCATGCAGGGGAAGCTGGCCTCCCCATGGGTGTGCACCCCAGAACGAGCTGTCTGAAGCCACAGCCTCGAGGGCCTTGTCCCTGCCCTGCCAGCGTTCCAGGAGGAGCCACCACAGGCCCTGGCGCTGCAGGCCACACACCTGGTGCATGCAGGCCCCACAGGGCACACCAGCCTGGCTGGACGCATGCAGGTGGGGAGCTGGGCCCCAGGGCCAGAGTGGCTGCCACAGTGGGTCTCGAGTTCCCTGGCCCTGTCATGCAGCCAGGCCCGTGTGACGCCCATGGCCCAGGCCCCCACAGAGGAGGGTGGCGCTTACCGTGGAGGACACCAGCTTGCAGCCAAGTAGGGGAGGAGAGAAGGTGGGTGAGGCTGTGGGCAGCATTCCCCCAGCCTGCTCACAGGAAGGGGCCAGGAATAGTTGGGGCTCAGCCCCAAGCTCCCCGAGGCCACAACCCCACTCTCTCCCTCAGGGCTCCCACAGTCTCCCTCAGCTCCTGGCCCTGTTGCTGGAGCCACCCCAAAAAAAAGGCATGCAGGACAGCTCACCATCCGCAACATCGTCAGGCTTCCGGCGCTTCTCGTAGATGAAGATGATGGTGACCAGCACCAGCACCTCGGCCACGATGCCCAGGAAGGGCCAGAGCGCGGCGAGGCGGCTGCGGACGCGCAGCGTGATCTCGGCCTGGTCGGAGCCCTGCGCGCTGGTGCCGTTGCACACGTACTTGCCAGGGTCGGAGTTCATATCCAGGTTGTCGATGCGCAGCTCTGACCTGGCCGCAGAGGAGCTCACGAAAAACTTGCTCTGGGAGCCGTTCACGATGACCTGGAGGGGGTTGTTTGTGACTGGAGAGTGGAGCCCAGGCCTCCCGGCCGTGGACCTCACATGTCCCCACCTGGTCCCTGGAGGACAGAGGCTGTACCCAGCCATGGGGCTCACCTGGTCTCCAGATTCAGCTGTCTTGTACCAGACCCAGTCTGTGATGAGGGGGAAGGAGTCGGACTTGCAGGCCAGCGTGACCGACTCGCCCTCGTTGGCGTGCTCCGACTTCTTCACGGCCTTCACCTTGGGGCGCCCTGAGGGGAAACCGAACAAGGGAGGAGCCTAGAACCGCAGGGCCCCGCAGGGGGAGCCTGTTCCACTCTGACAGCAGATGGGCCGGGGGCTCCTGGGCCCTTCTCTGCCCCCACTGCACCCTGGCTCCGGCTCTGTGCTGGGCCCGCCAGTGCCCAGCCTGCAGGACTCACCGCTCAGCGTGATGCTGGCCCTGCCCGTGGGCTCGGGGAGGAAGATGCATGAGTATTCTCCTGAGTAGTCGTCCGGGTCCACCCTGCAGCGAGAGCAGTAGGGAGCTGGGTGAGCTGCGGGACGGGGCAGTCTTGCCTCATGGGAACCAGGCTTCTCCGGGGCTCCACCCACGACACAGGGAAAAAGGGAGACTGTCCCGAGCTGAGTTCAGACCCTGACGGAACCTGTCACCTTGCAGGATGTGCACAAGCCCCCGCCTGCACGGGGGAACCTCCCACCTCTGGCCACCCCTTCTGCACCCCTCACCATGTGAACCACCTTCCCAGTGAGCCCAGAAACAAAAGGGCTCTGTGTTCAGAGCCAGCCTGAGCCCCAATTAGGACAAGGCTTTAGCCACTAGGGCGTCTGGAGTCTGACCTTTTCTGTGTTAGGAACACAAAGCTGCCGAGGCCCCCACGTGCGCTCAGGACCCTAATGAGCCGGTCAGGGGCTCCAGGTCAGGGCTGGTGGACCCCCGGTGGTCAGGGTTCTGAGCAGAGGTTGTTTCCAACTTCTGCCTGAATCAAGCCCGAGGACTAGTCTGTTCTCACAGAACGTGCGTGGGGTGGGCACCTGCCCACCCGCCACTCCAGGTCACTCACTCACTCGAACTCGGTTGTCAGGCCGGGCTGCGAGTCCTCCTTCAGCACCCTGCCCGCCTTCACCCAGCGGTGGCCGGTGATCTCCGTGGCGCTGTGGTTCAAGGCGCAGGTGAGGATGGTCTTGGAGCCCACCTTCTCCACAGAAGCGGACACTGCACCAGCTGCAGACACCCCCCCGAAGCCGAGGTCAGGCCCGGGGAGAGGGAGGACCACCCCCACAGCCCACTCCTCCCAGACACCCTGAGGACTGAGGCCACACGAACTTCCGACCGGCCCCTCCTGGAAGAGGGAGGCCACAACCTTCCAGTGAGTCCCTGCTGGGAGGGGCCCCTCCTTGACAGAGCAGGCGGGCCTTGGGCTGCAGCCTAACCACGCCGCTGGACCAGGGCCTGGTGCTTCTGCCCAGATGTGTCTAACTGGCTCGGACCTGATGGGGGAACAGACAGATAAACCCCCAAGTCCTCGAACAGGAGTCGAGACATCCACCTGCTGGAGGCAGCAGCCCCACCACACACCAGAAATTCCTTTCTAAGAAACAAATACTGTACCACCCAGGCACTGCGCCCTCATCTGGTGGTCTTTCAGAGTCTCTCTCTGGGGGGACAGGTGGCCCCTTGAGGGGCCCCCCCTTTCCTAGGAGGCACCGGCTTCCCAGAGGACCCCCAGCAGCCCAGGGAGCTGCCAGCTTCTTTCACCAGTTTCCAATAGCACAGACCTTTGGGCTAGTTCTCCATGTTCCCTCTACGAATCCAAACTCAGAACTCATTTGGAATTAGACACTGAGCAGCACAGGAAGGCTCTGGAGAGCTGCGTGCCTGGGCTGAGCTAGGGGGTCCTCAGGCTTGCAGTGTGGACCCCAGACCCACTGGACAAGCGCACACAGGGGGACAGGGCAGGCGCTCAGCGGAGCAGGAGTGGAGATGGACTGGAGGAAGGACTGTGTCGGACGAAGGACCGGATCGAACGGATCAGACGGATCGGACGAAGGACTGGATCGGGTGAAGGAACGGATCGAACGGATCAGATGGATCAGACAGATCAAGCAAAGGATAGGATTGGGTGAAGGACCAGATCGAAGAGATCAGACGAAGGACCGGATCGGGTGAAGGAACAGATTGAACTGATCAGACGAAGGACCGGATCGGGTGAAGGAACAGATCGAATGGATCGGATGAAGGACCGGATCGGGTGAAGGAACGGATCGAATGGATCGGACGAAGGACCGGATCAGGTGAAGGAATGGATTGAAGGGATCGAACAAAGGACCGGATCGGATGAAGGACCAGATCGAACGGATCAGACGAAGGACCGAATCGGGTGAAGGAACGGATCGAATGGATCAGACGAAGGACCGGATCGGGTGAAGGAACGGATCGAACAGATCGGACCAAGGACTGGATGGACGGAAAGGAGGGAGGCCGAGGGGAGAACAAAGGGCCCAACTGCTAAGGGACAGAGCCACGCGGACACCTAGCCCACCCATGTCCAGACCCGAGCCCCTCGGTCCAGGCGGGAGGGTCCCCAGCGGGGGAAGAGTAGGAGGGAGAGTCCGGCAGGAGTGTCTGGGTTCTACCGAGTGGGAGCCAGGCGGCGAGCGACACGAGAGGGAAACTGAGCGAGGCGCCCACCACTCACGTTCCAGGACCAGCACGATCGCCTGGGCTCGGACCCACTTGACCCTAGGTGCCCGGGTCAGGTGGTTGCGGTCCGGGTCGTTGCTGGCCCGGCACTCGTAGGTGCCTGCGTCCTCCGCAGTGAGCTTGTGGACGGAGATGGTGCTGGCCGCGTGCTGGCGGTAGGCGGCGTGGATGTGGACACGGTCCAGGCGGGCGCCGTCCCAGAGCTGGGAGCAGGTGTCGTTGGGACCATTCCCTTCAAACCACCACTGGATCTCGGGGACGGGCCTGCCCACAGCCTCACAGTGCAGCTCCACGCTGCCCCCTGCCCACCTCTCCTGCGACAGGGGCGACCTTACAAAGCCGGCTGTAGGGGAGAGGGTCAGTGCCCTTGTCAGTGCCCCGCAGAGGAGACAGGGTGCCCCGGGGGAAGGCCTCCCCATGGGACTCCCGGCCCAGGGTTGACCGATGAGCTGTCTTCCTCTCAGTCTGTGGAAGCGCAGCAGCGTGAGGTCAGGACACCAGAAAAGCCATGTGCCCAGCTTCCAGGAGGCAGGGGCCAAGCAGGCAGCTCCAGGCAGTCATTGGTGTCCCCCCCGGACCCCTGGAACTCTCTGCGGCCACAGTGACTTCCGAAAGCACAACCGTGAAACCACACGCGGTTTCAAAACAAACGGTGAAAGTGGGCAGAATAATCAGAGGTCACGACCTCCGCCCGAGGGCTGCCGAGAACTACCACCAGAAGCCCCAGCCTGCAGTCACCCTAATGCCTGGAACACAGACCCCAGGGGCAGCGTCCTGACTTCCACCTGATTCCCCACCCAGGAAAACACCTGACACCACGGAGTCCTGTGTGTGACTCCTTCTGTCCACCCCAGAGACCTGCTCAGTCACCAAGAAAATAAACCTCAAAATCCAAAGGGTGGGCAGCCTTCATGCAGGGACCTCACAGCACTGCTGCTGTGAGCATAGCCCACGGGTAGGAAACCGTCTCCTTGGGACGCCTCGAAAACAGCCACCTGGCCCCTGTGCAGAGGAGGGAGCTGGGCCCGGGGGCCTCACTGCTCCTCACCCCTGGCCACCTGCTGCTTCTTTCCCTGGATGGAACAGAAGTTCTCAGAACTCCAAACCCAGGAGGCCTGCAACGACCAGGCCCAGGGAGCAAGTGCTCCTCTTCCCCCAGCCTGGGCTTTACAGCCACCCCCCAACATCCTAAGGGCAGGTGCCCCAGCACTGCTGCAACACCTGTGAGGACATGCATCTGTACACACGCCTGTGCAGGACATACATGTGCACACACATGCTCCTGGCTCCAAGGCCACGTAGCAGAGCACAAGTCACAGGCTCCAGGGTCCTGGGGACATTCACATCAACCGCCCAAGATGGCTCAGAGGACCGACGGCTAGGGGCAGGCACCGCTACCACATTTGGCAGTGCCACTTCCACAGAGGGATTCCTCCTGGTAACCTACATTCCTCGGGAGTCAAGATTTCCCAGGTTGCAAAACCAGCAGCTGCGTGCAGAGCTGGGAGCAGTGAGTCAGTCAGGGCAGGAAGTGAAGCCCAGGCAGCCCAGCGGCAAGCTCCTTCCTGCCCTGCTGCGGCCCCTCTCCCTGGGCCTGGGCCTGGGTGGCAGGCTGCCTGGTCCTGGAGCCTAGGGACCCTGTCTGGGCCTAGCATCCTCTTCACCCAAGGGTGCCAGAAGAGAGGTTGCACCCAGGTCTCCACACGCCAGCTCCAGGTGGGAGTAGGGGGCTCAGGACTCAGCTCTCAGGGCCACAGAGGGAAGGCCCGAGGCAGGGCCTGTTGCTGACCCACCCCCAGCCCAGGGTTCAGAGGAGGAGACTGTGGATGCCTGTCCCTGGGACCTGGCTAACATGCCCATGTCCACGTTCACGTTTCTGAGGACCCACGAGCCTGACACCCCTACCCCTGGGCCCGAGGGCCGCACTGCAGGGACCAGGCCTGGCCCCGGGGAAGCCCCTTCGACTCAGTCTCAGGACCACCTGGGTGTCCTGGCACATGTTCTCAATGGGCTGATGTCACTCCCAAGGGGACAAACTTGGTCTCAGATGTAACAATGGTCTGTGGCCCTTTGCAGTCACAGGAGTTTTTTTTTTTTTT